GCAGGAATCCCAGGGGTGGGGGGTGAGGAAACATCTCCTCTGCACCAGCCTAGGGCGGGAAGGTAGGGAGGGGCAGTGTCTGACTTTGTCTGGAACCCCCTAAATTACCAATCACTAGCCTCGAGTCACCATGACTCTCTCTCCGGAGCACCCAGGGTAAGGACCCTTGCCTGCGGCTAAGACAAACACATGACCAGGATCCAGGTTTTAACTTAGGGTCATTTATTCCCTCTGCTCTCTAAAATGTTCACCCATTAGCCCAGAGCTGGGGCAGCTGAACAAACCCAGAAGGTTGACTGGAAGCAAAGAGTACTTTGCTCTGCTAGGATTCTTTCTACAAAAAAATCAAGACTCTGTGGAATAACACTAGGCTATTTTAGCTTTCTACTTAGAAGCACTGCTGGTGGTACAAGTTTCTTCCCCTACAGCAAGAATGTCTTCTAAATACACTGGGGTGTCTTTAGTTAAATAACAAGAGATTCCGGCACAGATTGGATCCTTGTGGTTTGCCTGTCTCTGGCAGGAGTCAAAAATTTGGCTGGAGTTACAGCTCCCTCCTTCCTGCAGTTGACAGGGTGTGTGTAAGCAGAGGGTAACTGGAAAGGCATCCTTAAACAATTGCATTTCCCACATCTGGCAGGTCTTGTATGACCTGTGTTCATGGCAACTAGGCTAGTGTACAGACAGATCATGGTCCTTGACTAATCAGCCATTCACAAACTGTGATAGTGAACAGGCAGGCTAATCTTTTTAAAATATATACATATATAATTCATAGATTGCAATCCTAGACTTCTAACATGATATAAATCCATCATCACCATTAACAGGAAATATTTCCAATGTATATGTTCTTTTGCACATCATCAGCTGCCCACATCTTGCCTCTGGGTATTGATATACAATCTCAGCTTCCCAGCATTTCCCATCTAGTATAAATATCCCTGTTCTTAATCACTCCTCTGTGGGTGTATTAGCTCACACTTCCCAAAGAGGAAACTCTTTTGGACTCCATTAAGACACAGTCACACAGTTACTGGTAGAACTTCCCATTCGTTTCCATCTGAAGATTTAATTTAAATGACATTTAGCCTTTCTTCTTTGTCCTTAATAACTCCATGGCATTATAGCTCTTGAATTATTTTTATTGTTAAAAATGATAGAGTATCAAATCTTTAGTTTACACATTTTTCTTAATGTTCTAGTTTAAATTTTCATTTTACAGAGAAAGAAATAGGGACCCAGAGAGATAAAGCACCTAGTCCAAGGTGACATGAGGCTGCACTGAAACTAGAGACATTGTAGCCAGAGCTCCTTGTGAATAACAGAAAACTATCCGATACTGGCTTAGTGTAGTAAAAACCAGCAACAACATTGCTGATTTTGTAGCACTAGAGAGAAGAGAAATCCTGACAACTAGCAACAGCTCCTAATCAAAACAGAGTATAGAAAACAGAGCAGCACTGTATGGACTGACTGGCCCTAAGGAATGTGCTGGCAATTGCAGCAAAATGCCAACACAGCATTTTAAAAGGGTTTTACAGACAGAGTCCATATGTTGCAACCAAACCACAGGACTTAACAGGTAAGAGAGAGATAGGAATCAAAAACCTTCAATGTCACAAAAAAGGGCTTCTTATTGTTTGTTTTATTGCAAAGATTCTGTTTTAAAGCCTGATCATTTGTCCTTTACTCTTCTCTGGAGGTAATGTAATTAGAGTGGTATTGTCTATGAGAACCAAGAGTTCTAATACCCAGAGGTGTTCACTGACGCCCAAGTCACAGCTATGAAATGAATGAAGGCTAGCTGACCTGCAGGTGTGTTCCAATTTAACAGCAACCAATTTAAAAGTGAAGACTTAGAAACTTGATATATTAGGAAGTGATGGTTTGTAATTACTACTGGTTTGCTGAAGGATTCTTTTATCAAGCACCTCTCCTCTGAAGATTTTAAAATATAGCTTATTTGACAGTAGGTGTGATTATATGTAAACTCTCAGAAATGCATTAGAAATAGGTCTAGTCCGACAATGTTTGATCCCTTATGTGTAAATGGCCTACCTACTACTCTCTAAAGAAATGACTTTTCTCCCCATCCCTGTTCTCTCTTTTTGAGCTAACCTCACCATAGGTCTAAGGTGCAATCTTTGGATGGTAAGTGGGTGACTCTGATGGAGGAATAGGAGGAAGGAAGAAAGGAAAGAACCAGAAGTTGCTCTCCATCCTGGCCTTCAGGGCTGGTCTCATTAGCAAGGGTATCTGTCCAAACCACTTTCTCCTCCCCAACCTATTCCCCAAGTCTCACTCTCAGCCTCCCCCCAGAGCCCTACCCTAGCTCTAGCAGTGAAATATCCAGACATTACTCAATTCCTTTGCATGCACAAAGTCCCACACTTACATTTGTAACCTCTCTCCTTCCCTACCACCCACCACAGAATCTAAGTTGAAAGAAAGCAAAATAAGGAGGTAGCATTGTGCAGAGAGAAGTTCAATGCTTGACCTTTGGACCCAGACTGCCTAGAATTTCATCTCGGCTCTACCACTAACTATATGACCTAGGATGAGTTATTTAGCCTCAATTTCCCCTTCTATAAAATGGAGACAAAAATGACCTATTGAATAGGGCTGTTATGATGATTAAATGAGCTCCCATTTGAAAGCCATTAAAATAATATCTGGCATGTAACAAGCACTATATAAGTGTTTGCAAAATAAAGAAGCCTTTTCATACCCTTCTAATTTCATTTACGGTAAAAGCCCTAGGTGGTCGTCATTATGGATGTTCACCAATAACCAGTTGCCTTCTCTACCTCCTTGAAATTAGTTGTGGCCATAAACTAGTTCTGGTCCATGAAATGTGAATGGAGATGATATGTGTTACTTTCTGGTGAAAGCAAGTAAGAGCCAGGAATCAGTTCTCAGTGCTCTTCTTCCTCTGCTTCAATGACTAGGGAATGCTGAGCAACACAAGAGGAGCCACCCAGAACAGTTACCTAGACCTGCCCTTGACATTGTATAAGCAGGAAATACACTTCTGTTGTGTAAGACACAGATTCTGACACTGTTACCTAGTCTATCCTGATGGATACAGGTTATGAATTTGTTTTAGGTATAGGAAATTAGAGCAATAATAATAATTCCCTGCCTACACACTGAAATCACCTAGCAAGCTTATTTAAAAAAAAAAAAAAAGACATCCAGGCCACAGCCCTCAGACCAAGTAAATCAGAATTTCAGACATCAGCAGTTTTTAAAGTTCTCCAGGTGATTTCAATGTGCATCAAAGTTGAGAAACTC